TTTGGGGGTAGCTTCTCATGCCTTTCACTTTACTGCATTAGTTATAAACCAGTTTTTCAACTTTGGACATGCATGGGACAATTCTGTGACTTTCAAGGTAGAGAAACTAGGAGCAAAGTTTGTTTTTAAGCTCATTTGCATTTTGGATGCTTGCGGTATGTGTGACTTGCTAAATGGTTTGGCAGGTTATTAGAGCCCTAGTGTAAAGGAGTGTGGCTTTACAACCACAGTTCTGGAAAATTCAGCTGAGGCTTGATGACAGGATAGGGTCCTGTGTACTCTGTGTCAGTATCTTTTGGTATTTTAAAGTAGCCTTGGGATCTGTAAGAGCAAACCGCTTATGAAGTTATATGCAGTAGATAGACACTACTCCTGTGTTCTTTTGGAGGCCATCTCTTTTTTTTTGTGTAGGTTTTTTTGTTTTGCATTCATAACTCATCAGCAATCCCTTGCAGTTGAGGATGATCGTCATTCGTGATAGTCTTATCTGTAGGTCCGAAGATGGCTGACAAGGCCAATCCGGGATCGACAGATTCTGTTGCAACTCGGGCATGTTTCTGTGTGGGGTGGGTGGCTCTGATTCTTTGTTCAGTCCACGACGTGCTGTTTCTGCCATTCTCATTTTTCCATCGCCTGTTGTCATCGTGAGGCTTCGAAGTACTGACCCTTCCTCCATTTGGGGTGGTCCTGGGCGATAGTCTCTTATGAGTTGATGTCAGTGTTGCATTTTTTCAAGTTGGCTTTGAGGAGTTCTTTGAAATGCTTTTTCTGCCCTCCTTCTGAGCACTGATTTACAAATACAGCTTGCTTCTGGAGTCTAACATCCAGATGACATGGCCAGTCCAGCAAGTTGTTGTTGAAAGATCATTGTCTTGTTGCTCGTGGTGTTTGCTTGTGAGAGGATGCTAATGTTGGTGCATCTGTCTTCCCACTGGATTTGAAGGATCTTCTGCAGGCAGCATTGATGGTATTTCAGCAACTTGAGGTGTCTCCTGTACATTGTCCATGTCTCAGCTCCGTACAGTAAGTTGGGGATTGTGACTGCTTGATTAAACCATGAGCTTTGTTTTCAATCTGACATTGCGATCTTTGAACACCCACTTCCTCAGGCATCCAAAGACTGTGCTTGTGTGTTTGAGGTGATGTTGGATTTCTTTGTCAATGTTGGCCTTTTGCAAGAGATGGCTACCGAGGCATGGAAAATACTCGGTGTTCTCTAAAGTCTCACCATAAATCTGAATTACCGGAGCTGGGGATTGCTTGTTGATGGGGGACCTTAGTCTTTTGAATGTTAAGCATCAGTCCCATTTTCTTGTATGCCTCAGCAAAGATGTTGACGATTGCTTCATGGTCTGCTTCAGAGTGAGCGCACACTACAGCATAATCAGCATACTGGAGCTTGATGATTGAGGTTGGGGTTTTCTTGGTTTTGGCTCGGAATCAGCTGAGATGAAACAGGTTACCATCCATCTGGTAGTCTAGCTCCACTCCGACTGGAAGCTTGTTGGTGGTCAGATGTAGCAGTAAGGAATATCAAGAAGAGTGTTGGAACAACAATGCAACCTTGATCGGCTCCTGTCTTCACCTCAAAGAGATCTGCAACAGATCCGTTTCAGAGAAGAGCCGTTCATACTGTCAGGGAGCAAGCAAAGACTGGTAACACAATTTGGTGGGCATCTGTACCTCAGAAGGATCCTCTACAGCGCTTCTTGGGTGACCAGAGTCACAGGCCTTTGAGGTAAAAGAAGGCCATGTAGAGAGGTTAATGTTGTTTTTGGCACTTTTTTTATAGCTGTTGAGCAGTGACGGTCATGTCGGTTGTGCCTCTTGAGCCCGAAATCCATACTGAGATTCTGGGAAGACCTCTACAGCAAACGGAAGGAGATGGTTCAGGAGGGTTCTTGTATAATGATCTTTCCTGTTGTGGACAGCAAGGCGATCCCTCTGACTTCCCGAGTCAGACCTGTTTCCTTTCTTGAAGATTGTCATAATCATGGTGTCGCTGAGGCCAGCTGGGATTTCCTCGTTTCAGAACCTGAGGATGAGGGCATGGAGCTGTGACGTAAGTTCGTCTCCCACCTGCTTGGAGATTTCGGCAGGTATTTCATCTGCTCCAGATGTCCTGTCATTTTTTATCTGCTTGATGGCTTTCCTGACCGTGTCAAGGGTTGGAGGGATTCTGAGATCATCTCTTGACTGGGTGTTGCAGGATGGAATTGGGAACACTCTCATCAACAACAGTTTTGATTTGAAAAGGTCTTCAAAATGCTCCTTTTAGCAGGTGTTGATGGTTCTCCTTCATCCTTGGGTCTTAAGGGGGTTGGGTTCCTGAGTACTTGGACTGTAAGTGGTTTTGGTGGTACTGAAGAAACCGCTCATATTGTGGATGCTATTAAGACATTGAATCTCCTTTGCTTTGTCTTCCCACCATCTGTTCTTCATATTGTGGGCCCTCCTTTGGGCCTCTGCCTTGGCTTTTTGGAGATGCAGTTTCTTTTGCTTGGAGTTGGTGTTGTTCTGCCAAGCACAAAAGGCCTTGTGCTTTTGGTTGATCAACTCTTGGATCTCTTGGCCATTTTTGTCAAACCAGTCTTGGTGTTTCCTGGTACAGAATTCGACAGCAGGCGCTATTGATGGTGGACTCGATGGCATCCCAAGCGCAGCCGCCATTCTTTCGTTGTCGATTTGGAATTCGCCAGTTTTTCACTGAGGTGCCGGTGGAAGAGGTCTCACTTGATTGGGTCCTTAAGTCCTTCAACAGTGACGTTCTGTCAGCATTGCTTGTGGTGCAGCCGTCATTTGGGAGCCAGTCCAAGTAACATAACGGCTCAGATGAGTGGATGAGTTGGTGATCTTCGTAATTACGGCGGTGATATTCATAGCTATGTAGTAGCTGGTGGCCTAGCCGTAATGCATTGGGTAGTGATATCACTCGTGTGTGGCTCCTCTCCTTTTTTCGCCCCATGGAAGAAAGATGTATAGCTGAACATAGTGTGTTAATTTTTCTGTTTGTTTTCTTAAATATACCAGTACATATTGCTCTGTATTAGTTAGTGGAGGCAAGGTCAAAGAAATGGGCGTTGAACACCAGGTAGAGAGTGATAAGGTTTGAGGTGGTTCCTCATTCTTTGGGGTGTCCATTTCACAATCCTGGACCAGCCCCCATGAAATGTCAGTCTCAGCTGCTGCTGATGGCGTATTGTGCTATCAATATAAACGGGGTTGGAGGGGGAGAGGCAGGAGAGAAGAATTCCAGCTGTACTCCAAAAAGCACTTTCATACATATTGGGGCAGTATTTGACCAGCTTCTTGCGGGACAGTGCCACGGTTCACAAGATGACTTAACCGTTCCCACAGAGAAACTGCCCATACATAAAAATACACATCCCAAATCTAACTGGAATCCTAAACATTTTGGCGCAAGAGCGTGCTTGTGTTTCAGACCTTATAACACTGAAAGAAACTGCTTTTTCTTTGGCTACTGGCATCTCCGATTGATTGATTTATAGCTAAGGACATGGAATAAGGAAGAAGGTTAGAATAGTCTGAAACTTAGCAGCTTTAAGGGCATCAGCTATTACAACAGCAAGATATTTAACAGTTGCAAGCTGAAAATGCTTCTACCACCCTGACCTTTTTACAGTTGTACAGATTGCTAAAGGGGGTGAGTACGTGGCAGTGTTTTCAGATCGGTTGTTTGTGACAGCCGTATTCAGTTAAAGCTTTAGACCAGACCTCTTAAATTTAATTTAATACTTATTTGAAATGTGATTGGGAAGTCTTTGTTCCAACAAGATCCTTCTGAACTTTAATGGGACTTTATAAGAGAAGAGGGATTTGCAGCACTTCCAAAATGGCAATTCACATTCTTGATAGATGGGGAAAACTAACGTGGCTTTACTGTTTTTTGGTTTTTTTCAGGTTATCTGCTTTCTAGCAATTGGTGTGTAATCTCCAGTGTGGTGGGGGAGGAGGAAGCGGGAAAGTGCATAATAGTTGAATTAATGAACACACTTTCTTGATGGGGGCTGATTTATTTTAACTCTTGCTCAGCCTCTTGAGGATGTTTTGTAAATGTTGATCAAGGGGCCTTAGCAGCCTGTAAAGTGTTTTGGCGATAAAGGGCAAAATGGAACCATTGGCACTGAGACAGTGCGAGGAGGCTGGGCTATAATCATACAAGTATACTACACAAGTGGTATGAAATTTCAACTAAAGTATATCAGCAGAGTGCTCCCTCCCTTCCTCAGCCAATGAACTCCCCTACTTAAACAGTCTTGGTGGCTAAAATGCATCTCCCATAGAGGCTTTTGCTGGGCCAGCGCTGTATGTTGGGACTGTTCCTACGTCACACCTTTGACCGACATAGTCTGTAATGTACATATAGCTGGCAGCTTAAGAAGACTTTAGTTTGATGTTTGAATGAAATACTGATACCTAATTTTTAACAGTAATCTTGCAAATGCTGTTCTGCCATTAGAGCTGCTTTTGAAATTGGTCAGTTCACCGTTCATCTCGTCGGGAGGGCCTCTTCTGTTTGCTGCTCTTAAAAACATTCTGCTTGAGAGGTGGAACAGTTTGTTCTTAGCTAAAATACACAATTGCTGATTAAAAAAATCACACGGATAAAAGTTGTAGCCTGCCCAGTTTTTGAGATGATAAATTAGTGTCTCATTCACTCCAGCACGGAACCTTTTGCTAGTTATCCTCAGTGAAAGAAATGTTTTATGTTTGGCAAACTAGTAACTTCTAGGGGGGGACTTCATACCCAGTTACGGGCTATTATGCATTTCTTCTGGGAATCCTTGTTTTGCTGTACTGAACCAGAATGTCCAGCAGGAATGCATAGGACATCTTTTTTATCTAGCAAGTGCAGACTTTAGTTGTTAAGGAGCAAACTAAACTGCGTATTGGGAAAGCTCTGTGCTGACAAACTGCAATTTGGGGTGTGAAAAAGCAGGTGTTCAAATATGAGATTATTGGTTTTCGTTATCTTGCAGATGGGGTCGAGGATTTGGTCTGTTGGGTTCCATCTTTGGAAAGGACAGTGCAATAAATCAGCCAAACAGTGTCTATGGACTTTTATTTTATATACTACAGTTGTTACTTGGTAAGTATCTACTTTGATTATACCCTAAAGTGCATGAGATGGTGCCACTTTGTGTTAGCAAAACATGGCAGCAGTAAACCTGAAAGAAAGCTAAGCTTGCACTGGTTCAGATTCGTTTAATGCCAGTGTGGTGATTCAGCTACATGCATAGCCAAGAGTTACCTTTCTCGCTTTTAGCACTCTGGCTATTCCATTGACTGTGTAAGCATTGGGAACAGTGGCTGCATTTGGGCTTTCACTTATTCTCTTCTAAGATTGGGTTACTCTCTACAAAGGAGAAAATCAAAACTGGATTTGTGAGAGCTACGTAGTATACTATGGCTAACAAGCAAACAAGTAGGTGAGATTTAATTGTGTGACTAGTGAAACAGGCCAGTTGATCTAATTGAACCCTATAATATGCTATAAAACCATTGAGATGATTGTTCATTGACTTTAATCGGCTCGACCTTTCAGGTATACTCACGATGGTGGAAATCCTGTATGCATGCCTTATCAAAAGAGGACTATCCATGCACAGCTTTGTCAGCCAGCTTGGACTTGTGTGGCATTTTAAAAAGAGCTGTATTGTTAATACAAGCTTTCCAAGTGGAATGGAGTTAAGTTAGGATCCTTCTCCAGTTTGTCTGTTCTTGACTATGCAATGAGGGCATTAAAATAGCAATAGTAACTTTTTCTCTCGTTTCAGGTATGACAGCAAGTGCAGTAGCAGCTCTAATCCTCATGACATCCTCCATAGTGTCTGTAGTAGGGTCTTTATACTTGGCATACATTCTGTACTTCGTGCTGAAGGAATTTTGCATTGTCTGCGTCATCACATATTTGCTGAACTTCATTCTCTTTATCATCAACTACAAACGACTAGTTTACTTGAATGAGGCCTGGAAACGGCAGCTCCAACCTAAACAGGAATAACACTTGTTTGAACTTTTGACTGACAGTCTGAAGACCTGACTTCCATTAAGTTTATTTTGCAGTAATTTTTTTATTCATATCAGACACTTCCCCCTCCCCACCACAGAATCATAACTGAGTTTTTTAATTACTGTAAATTGGAAGGGGCCCTAGATAATTTCTGTGCTAATCTTCAATTTAAAGATGGTTGCAAAACATGAAAGCTCAAATACAATCAAAGACAAGCTTTAACTTTACTTTGAGGAAGTTTCTTAGCCACAAAATGTAGATTTTCCACCCCCTCCACTTGTAAAGTGGGTTACACTTGGTAGAAGACTATCCTTTGTGTATAAATTCAGTTTCAGATATAACAAGATGTGATCATGACACTTAAATATTCTAGAATAGAGGTACTGTATTTAATGTTGCCATGTTTACAGTATGTGCATTATTACATTTTTAGCTGATGGACTTGACACACACATTTGACTAGAACAATTGTACTGTAAATAAAACTAGAAATATTGGAACCATCCCTGCAGAACTGTCATTGTACAGTCAGGTTTGTTAGCATAGCAACTTGGAGAATATTCAACCTTATAGTTGATTGGAATAATGGAAGGATTAAGCCAATGTAGAAAACATCTTACGAGAAATGCTAGTAGTAGTGAGTGCAGCAACAGAAGTGGACGTTCAGTTTTCTGTTCCCTTTTTTGGTCCCCATTAACGAAAATGGAGTTGTGATGGCTATTATGCGTGCTCTGTAATAACCTGCCGTTGGATATTAATGCAAGGGGGTGGGAGGGGTGAGATGCTGAAATTGGAGGGAACTCTTAAAATGGTTGAATTTTTATTCTGATCTGCATTTTAGTTCTGAACAGGTGTTAAAGCCAAACAGTGTTACCAATATTCATCTGGCATTATGCTGAGAGCTGCATAATGAAATTGCAATTTGTAGTGGACTCGTGACCTACTGGATTAGCCAGGTAGTACACTGAACAAGCAGACACTTGGGTGATCTTGTCCAGGATCTTTGGTCGGTGCTATATTTAGAAATGAACTTTAGGACTGACACGTATTGCCCTTCTAAGGGGCCTTATCTGTAAAGCGGGGTAAGTAGGTAAATGTGCTCTTGAGAATGAAATGGCTCTTTCATTGCTCTTTCAAAAACGAAACAAAACACACACATTTTAATTTTTTAAACTGCAAATCTAAACCGACGCAAACAATCTCAAAAGATGTTTCTACACTTGCTGTCCTAGAATGGAATGATAAAAGTGCCTTCTGTCTTAAAATATTAAACCAAATAGTTTGTGTGTTAAACTTGGCAGGCAGAAGTGTCCTTGCTTTTTAAAAAAAGAAAAAAAGAAAAAAAAGAACTAAAACCTCCCACAAACCTTATGGTACGCGAAAGAATATTTAGCGGTCTATTTTAGCCCTTAGACTGAGAAGTGGTAGCAATATTATTGGTTCCTGTTCACTTAAGTTGATGTGTTACAATGTTGGGGGAAGTAATCTGATTTTTTTTTTAAACTGCAAATTAAGTTAAAAATGCTGAAATTTCTAACTTTATCTCCAAGACCTGGAGATTGGGGTTCTAGTAAAATTAATGTTGTGCTTTTGCTGCCCTCATGTCAAACAGCTTCTATATCTGAACAATTTAAACGCCCGATTCCTTCTTTAAGAGATTTGGGTCAATCCAAGTTTACTTTACGGGACACTTTTGTATGTAGAACTGCAAACGTGGATTATAAACACTAAGAAGCTGGAAAAGGCGATAAATGTGGCGTGAAACTTACGGTTTTAATAGCGACAGTAGAAATCTGGGATAAATTCACGCAGAACTTAAAACTACTACTGAGTTAACTTTCTATGCAGGATGTAGGTGGAAATTCCTTGTGTACAGAGCTCTGTGGTATGAGTAACGTCTCTTGCTGATAACACTAAAAAGCAAAAACCTTGTCCCTCTTGTCTAACAATTCTGAGTGACTGTTTATTAAATGTGTTTAGTATTGACCAGAGTACAGTTAAAGCTTGTCTTGATGTTAAGTTCTCTCTCAAATGCCTTGAACTTTGATGTGAGGGGATGTGAACAATGTTAAATTGGGTCCCTTGAGGCTTTACCCTCTCTGTGCTTGAGCCTGGGGGTAGGACCACTGTCTAATGTATTGTACAGATTTATTTTGATACATTCCTATGATCTACTATAGTAAGGCATCTTTTCATCCAGGGAAGAGGTGAACATGTGCTGCCTGAAATGGTTAGTCACAGTGCTAATATCTCAGAAAAAGCAGCAGTGGAGACAAGTATAATCAATGATTATTTGGTCTGATTCCAGGCTTAATTAAAAAAAAAAAAAATGACTGAAAGTATAGGTGTTGACTAACTTCACTGTGTCTTTGTGCTTGTCTGTGTGGGCATAGCCTGTTACTTCGAAGTTTGTTTAGCAAAATAGTCTAGGGCCAGATTTTCGAAAGTCGCACCTGTAGCTTACGTGCGCACGTGTAGGGAACCAAATGCAAATTGGGTTTGGTCTCCGGAAACTTGCAGCTAGAAATCTCGTGCCTGCTTTTGCAAATCTGACCCTAAATTGTAAACCCTCTCTTTTGTCTTGTGCGTCTCTCTGTGTTACTTTATATTTCAGACCAGAATGGGAGCGACTTTTGCAAGAAATGACCCCTCTTCTTGTTTCCCTTTTGTGCTAGAGAATATGCATTTTGTGTGAACAAAGGGCAAAGTAATTAGGTTAGTGGTAGAAATTTGGACCCTTTTGCTTCCAGTACTTGACCTCTCTCCTCACTGCTGTCAGTGTAGAAATGGCAGTTTTCTACCGGTAAAACAGCTCAGGTTAATTAGCAATGTGCCAGAAATCATACTGCTTCATGTAGGCCCACTCCAAGCAGAAGGAGCATGTCATGCCAAATGTACTACGGGGTGCTAATTTGACCTTTTGTGAAAACCTTGGGGTATAATAAAGGCTGAATGCCAGTAAAGAGCATCCTGTCCTGGGGGGAGTGGGAAGGGGCCTGGATCTGAACTGTGGCTTCAGCACTTGTGAAGCTTTAAATGAAAAGCTTTGTTTCCAAAGCACGCAGAAAAAGGTCCAAAATTTGGACTCCTGCCACTTCAAGTTTTGAGGTGAGGAGTGGTTCTAATAAGGGAGAGAGTCAAATCCCAGACTTGTTTAGGAAATGAAAATTCCTACGAACTTCTTACTGTAAGATATTTGCTACTCTGAGGCCAGTGAAACATTCCCCACCTTAGATATGGGAGGTGAGAAACTTCCATGTGCTGTCGTACTCGTCTTCTGCTGTAGAGTCTCTGATAAGGTCTTGATTGGTCAAAAAAAAAGGCTGGTTAGGTGCTTCAGGCAGCACTTGTGGCTCTTAATTTGTATGGACTAAACAAGTACAAATCTGATAAAAACTTCAGTTCAGCCAATGTTGTTTAAATATGACCTAGACAAAACTGGTCCAGAAAAGGTGAAGTATTCTGTTACTGTAAACCTGTGTTAAGCATGGCCTAAATATTAGGTGTTCGTTCTGTATAGTATGTTCCATCATATTTATTACTAGTGCTTTCAACTCCAGAGTAAACATCCATTTTAAAGTGGAGTCCTTGGGCAGATGTTCCTTTTATCCATACAGGGTGAGAATTCTACATCCAAGGTTTAGGAAACAATTTTGCTAACAGGTAAAGACCAATGTAAATATGTAAGAATGTTTATTTGTTGCACATAACTTTTTGGTATAAAAAAATAAATGTAGAAATTACCTGTGGACGTCTTGCTGCGATCATTCTTACGCTGCAGTAGTGCAGTTCAAAGAGCTTGAATGAACCCAATCAGAGGCCTTTTTGGACTCAGTCTGAGCCTTAGAAACTGTTTTTAAAACCTGTTCTGTAATCTTGTTTCTAGAAATGTACTAAGTTGCGATATATATTTTTTTTTTCTTTTTCTTTTCAAAAGAAAAATGTACGTTAGGAGTAGATGGGTTGAAGCACTGAGTCCCCAGAGATACTAATTCATACGGTTTCTGCAGCTTCATTGTGTATTGCTGAATGTTGTGTGCACCTGGGTGTATAAAGGTGGAGCAGCATTGACCTGAGGCTTTACTGTTTTTACAATTCTTCAAGCAACATGCAAAAATGTTCCTAGCCATGTTACTTTGATCACTTCCTGCTTTTCTTAGGCTTTTAGACCTGCTTTAACTCCACTCTGACAACGTCACAGTATTTTTAACATGCTGAATGTTTTCTTTTTTGGTTAAAATTGCACTGAGCTGCTAAGAACTTAAGCAGGAACTAAGACTCTCCTTGAAAATGCGTGCTTACCATACAAATGGATATTAAACTTTTGCATCCGTCTTGTTGGACTGAACAAAAGTGTAGCTTTCTCGACTGAAATTGCAAGTCCTGTGCATATTTGTAGGGATTGGAGTCCTAGTGTGTAATGCGTTAACCATGTCAAATTTGTATCTGTTATCTTGATGTGGCAGCTGTTGGTATGTCATTCTGTCAGTGTTGAAATGGGGAAGGAAACGTTAAAATTAAAGTTTAGAAAGCGTGAAGATTAAATGACTTTCAAACTCTGGTAATGGGATTAAATATGGTATTTGCTGATGTACCAGATAACACTTGAGTGTTTGCTTTTTAACATGGGTAAACGTTTTATATTCTGGGGTTTTAGTTAACTAGGAAATCTGTAACCTTAATACAATGTAAAGAAGAATTATCAAGTTTTCTTTTTCTTCTTCTTTTCCTGTTGGAAACTAAAGGAAAATTGTTCTCAAGTCTGTAGTAAGTGTACATTTCCTTTATTATGTCCCATGGCATAGGAGACTTCCCCTTGGCTTCTAATATGTCACGACCTAGTGGAAACAGCTCTTGCCACCACATGCGATTATGGTGGCCCCTTTCTTTTACAGGGAAAAAACTGTTGCTTTTTCTCAGGGAATGAGCAGAAGAGGAGGTTACAGACAAAAGGATTCTAGTTGGTACCATGTTTCGTTCTGGTCTGATGGCAGTGTGTATTGCAGTTTATGGCCATGTGTCCCTGTACATCACCTACCATCTGACACCCAGCTTGTGAACATGGGGCTGGCAAAAGTGGTGCTGTAGCCTGTTTGGGTGTCTGCCATTATCCACTGTGCTAGCTTCGATTGTATGTAGGTTATCAAAGAACTTAATCCCAGACTTGCCCTCATCACTGGCTTGCTATTTGTCCAGTAATGCTCCTTATGACTCTAAATCATGATGCTAGAAGGTAATCTGTGCATGCAGTTTCAACCAATGTAGAGGGACTTACGGCCTTTGCATTTCAGGTTGGTGTCAACAGAGTGCTGAGGTTGCTAATAAATTAATGCTGGGAAGACTAATTTGGGCTCCGTGCTCTGCAAACAGCACTCTAGTTTACAGACAGCACATCTGGTGCAGAAGATGATCCATTTCTGTGGATTATGCCACCATGTTGCATCCTCTTAAGAGTACAACTACCTAAAGATGCCCTTTGGACAGGGGATGAGCACATTCATCTCGAGTCTTAAGTATCAGCGCTTCACAGTTCCAAAATGCAAGGTACTTATCTCCCATTAGATAAGCATGGAAAGTAAGTGTTCCCTGTTCTGCCTTGTTTTGTATTTTGTTGAAGAAACAAGCAGAAACAGCAGTGTAACATAACTCCTATTTATTGAAAGCGTTGAGCTCTACTCCCAAACGTTATACGTTATAATACTGCACTGTAGGAGGAAGACAACTTGATTCATTTGCAAGCTTCCAGTATCTCTCTCTCAGAACAAATGCAGCTGGCTTAGGTTGTCGTTGACGAGTAAATATCCCTTTCTTGTTCCCCAAAACACGTGTCACAGCTGCAGAAAAGAGGTTGTAAAATAGTGTGGAAAGGACAGAGCAGGTGTCTCACTTCCTACTACTACAATAATTAATTTACAGCTTCAGCCAGTTAGAGGGAAGAGCCCCCCTGCACATAAATGCATCTATATGGCCCCCTTTTTAGGCACACCTCTACCCAGTTGAGAATCACTGATGTACACAGATGGGCATACTTAACTAGTGTGCTAGAAGGGGTGAGGAGAATGCCACAAGGCCAGGCCACCTCTGCCTGGCTCCCACCCACACTACCCAGCCCCTCTGCCAGGGGGCAAGTAAGCATTGTAATCTATAAATTTAGTTTTTGAAATCTAATACTGCACACTTCACAAGCTATAGAGGAGTGCTTTGTGTCCCTAGGAGGTTGAGAGCCACTGATGCAAACCATCTTGCTGTGAACCAAAGGTTATTAGGTTAAGTCTCTAAGGTCCTAGTGTGAGAACTGTGTAACCTGAAGTAGCTGGCTTTTCTCCTACTGCTGTTTCACAGTTTGATTTTACGAAGAAAACATTTTATGTTCCTGTTCTAAAGGAATGGTTTGAGTCACCCTTGCTGTTAACCTGCATCTTCCTTGACTAACTGTTCGTGCCCTTTTGTACTTAAAACCAGCAGCCATGTCTTCCAGCACTAGGGATGTAAATATAAAAGTTAGCTGTTTAAACTCTCCTAATTATATATTGATTAACGATTTAACTGACAGCATGCCTACAGAGCAGCCAGCACCCACCCCGCTTGCCACAGGACAAGACATGCAGGCGGCAGGCAGCAAGTGGTGTTCCTGCTGCTGGCCCTTGTGCCCTGCCCTGCCTCCCTTTCTCCTCTGGGGAGAAGGCTGGCTCTGCTTGGCTCCACTGCTGCTGCCTCCTCCCACCCCGGCCCTCGTTACGTGTGCAAACTGCTAGTGGAAGGGGTGAGCAGATGTGGAAAGACAGATTGGGTTGCTTCTGGGAAGGGTATTCTGAAAAAGTAGTACAGGTAAACCATGTAATAGTTCATGCAACATAGTCCATTTTAAATGTTAACTGTACTGCACCAACAGTGTAAATATAATTATAGTTTAACCTGTCACATCCCTATCAGATCCCTTTTCTGTCACAGAGGAAAGCTGTATCCTCTCTCTCCCTCTACAGGCTGCAAGGGCATTAGTTTTAATTTCCTGTCCACTTTCCCTTCTGCCTGCATTTGTGGTTTCTGCTATTGAGACATTGCTCAGTAGTACTTAAAACTGTCAGTTAAGGAGAATGAGTAGACAGCATGTTCATTTCCTGGCTACTACCACCCTGGAGATAGCATAAGTGTAACTGGTCCCTTATGATACTGCATGCTTTTTTTTTTTTTTTAACCAGTCACAACTCAAGTCTTGCTGATATGCCACACTGTCGATCAAATAATGTTTGTACACCTATGCCAGATCTTGCCTTGCCTTATCCCCCACCACCAGTCCTAGCAGCATACAGCAGACAACCATTTTTACCATTGTTCCACCTCGCCATACTGGGTACTGCTGCTATTAGAGCTGGACACAGGCTGGAAATGCCAGGGTAGGCACAGATTGAGGGCAGTCAGGCTTTCTAGGGGAGGAGGCAGTAATAAATGCTACACCTCTTTTCCCCCCCTCGATTCATTTGTGCGCGACAGGAAGTGCCACTGTGAACTGGACATGTTACTTCAGCACAACTATGTCACAGACAAGTGATTGCACCCCAACCTGCTCTGCATATTACTCTGCACCTGTCCCACTGCAACAGCAGAAACAAACGAACCCTTCATCAAGTCGCTTCCATGGAGCAGCAGCAAAAACTGGTTTTGTTTCTCTGCACACTACCAGCTTGGCTCCGGTTTAATGTACGGGAGCCTGCAGGCTATGTAGGTAGTTTTAATTCTAAAGTGTGAGGCCATTGTCCTCAAAACACAGAGCTCTGCCCCACTGTAAACTTTCACGAGCTGTCACTGGACACATCAGGAGACCAAGACGTGGGAGTTGGCAACACACGAGACAGTTCAGAAGTTCCTTGGGAACTGCACAAAGTCCTCTGCAGGCCACAAAAGGCAACTTTAAACAATGCTGTTTAGCTGACTGAATTAAAATTACCTAAAGGACACTCTTGTCTGGATCCACTGCAGCAAGCAGAAAAAAAGTCTGATTGTTTGCATTTAAGTACTTGCTGCAGCATATTCTTCTACACCCACTGTTCCCAGCACAATTTTAGCCAAGCTGGTTATAGCAATTGGTCCTATTTTGTAGCACAGCAGTGACCCTCTCCAGCCCAGTTTGGTCAGTGTACAAAGTGAACGATGAAAATCTGAGACCAGGAGAGCAAGCTGCTTGTGGACCTTGCACGCTCTTCAAAACAACTCTGGAGAGTTCCTGGAGGAGCTGGATGATAAAATGAGAAGGAAGCTCTAGGGATGAATAGCTGTTCTGGCCAGCTTTGCTTCCCTCTGGACTCAAACCTTAACATTCAGGCATTTACCTTTTTCCTTCATCCCACCTGCTCCCCCAGTAACGAGAGTTTCACAAAGGAAGCAACAAGGGAACTTGTAAATGAAGTACTTCAGCGTTACCTAAGCCAGCTGGGTGGTCTATGTAACCTGTTAGCACTTAGTTTGTCTGCACCTGTCTAAAGTGGGAAGGCTGTGATGTTGGGGGATGGAAGCTCTTGTGCCATGCTGCAGTGGGCTTACCTTGGTCCGTCATGAAATCGGCAAAGTTCCAAATGAGCTCCCCGATCACATACTCCTTCCTCTTCCTGTCCAAGACAGCATGGTATTGCTTCAGCACTGCTACCTGGTACTCCTCGCTGAACATCAGTGGTGGATCCTACAGTCCAGGGAGGGAGAAGAGTCTTTAAAATGCAGGCCACTGCCAATTCTAGCATGGGACTCTCTGCGGTAACTTTACTGACAACATTTACAGTTGCTCACGCACTCTATCTACCATGCAGTTGTGGCCAGGTCCAAGAGTGGAAACAGCAGCTGCTTCAGAGAGGCCAGGAATGGGAAAAGAGAGTGGGTAACTGAATGGGTACACAGGTACTCTGTACCCCCGTCTCAAGCTAGCTGGCTCTGCCT